TAATTTGCTGTTACCTTTATTATGTAAAATTACAGAAGTTAAGAAATCAGCTCAACTGCTATCTAAATAGCCAAAGTTAGTTTTCTGTAAAGTGATAGAATTCCGCACTAAGAATCCTGGATTGCAACTTCTAGAAATAATGCAAATAACTATTAAGTTCATGCCTCCACTATATGCTAATACTTAATACAGACAGGTGATCTTTGTTCTGTGATAAATAAAAAGTCCAACATATTTCAAGATTCTAATCCCATTAACCTTGCCAAAAAATTGGGGGAACACTACCCAATAGATAAAGCCATAATATAGCCAGTCTGCTTCAGGCTTTTATAATCTATAAAAGGATGCTTGGCTCACCTACCCACTCACCTTTGCAGGGGCCTTTTTGGGCTTAGGCTCTGGCTTTGGAGGAGCAGGTTTCTTTTTTTTTTAAAAAAAAAGGGGGGGGGGGAATAAGGGAACATTAATACAATAAACCAAAGAAATAATCACAACAAAACTAAGACCACCACAAAAGTTTCTTCTACTTAAGATTTTATGAATGGTTTTTCATTAGAATGTTCTATCTTCAGGACTCTAGCAATACTGTAGTTCAACTTGTGTTCGACTTAGGCGCTGTTAACAGAATTTCAGAACAGACAAACACCAAGTGGGCAAGATTTCAAAGTAAAATACTCAAAACCTGCCATTAGCCATTACTTCTCTAGAAAAATGCAGAAAATGCAAAAGTAAACACACTTACAGCAGATAACCTTGCAGATCTCCTCTGTGGCTGTTAAAACAAAACAATTTTATTTTTTTATAAAGTTAAAAAAATCAGAACAAACAAAAGTTTTGGTATCAAGCTATATAACAAGTGAGAGAATTTACTTTGGCATACTCAGACTGAGGGTTGGATTGTTAAAGAATCCAGTGTGATTCAAAAATATTTACCTCGTCCTTCACCTTGGCTTTATCTCCCTTAACATCTCCTTCAGCCTACAAAAAAAAAAGATAATTGCAGCCTGTAAGGAAATTAATGACTTTCTAAATTTTACTTAAGTCCATAAAAAATAGGCTTTTTATAAATAACTTTCAAATTATGGTAGATCACCAGTTTTCAGTATTCCTATGCAAATTACTAAACAGCTTAATAGGGTACTAACTTGTTTAAACCTTATGCCTACTCGGATTCAGAGCTAACCCATAGAGACACATCAGAGATCCGGCGCCCTAAGACCTTCGGGAGTCTGAACCGAGCGTCCCGGGAATCGCTGCACCAGGCGCAGGGCGGGATCAGGGCCGCGCCACGGCGTAAGAAGCAACAGCTGCAGATGGTGCAAACAAACCCCCTCCGGAGGCGGAGCCAGAGCGCTGTTACCATGGCAGCCGTCGAGGGCGGGAACAGGGAGGCGCGCAGCCGAGACTCGTGGGCGACTGCGCCGCGCACCGGCGCTGCTTAAGGCGCAGGGGCCGTGGGCGGTGCGAGGGGGCCGTGCGCACAGTGCCCCCTCTCCGGAGGGCGGAGCTCAGACAGAGGCGGGGCCACACAGAACAAGCCCCGCCCCCTCGCGGCGGCAGTTTTTTGGCGGCAGCGCGTTCCCCCGCCCGCCGTCTTCCCGCCCTTTCGGGTTTGAATTGCCCGCCCGCAGGGAGAGGAGGGGGCCTCGTAGTGGGGGAGGGGGTGTAGGGAAGTCGCGTCGAGCTCGAGGGAAGCGGGATAAACAGGGGCCAACATGGCTCCTCCCGCCGCGGCCGCCGCTCCTCCAATATGGCCTCTGGCGCCCGCGGGCAGTCGAACAGCGAGGGGTTAGCCCGAGGCCGCGCTCCACCCCCACGAACCGCGGCACTCGGTGGCTAACCCTTCTCCAGCCGAGCGCCGATCCTCGCGCCCTAAAGCTGAGAAGGCGGCAGCGGTGGTCCAGCGCCTGAGGCTCTCGCGCCACGTACCTTTCTCTTGGGCATGGTGGCGACGACGGCGGGACGCAGGCGCTAGACTTGAAGATGCAGCAACGCGCGGGCTTGGACCGATCCAGGGGTCGTTCTCGCCTCTTCTTCACACTGCTCGGGCTCCGGGGGGTTTATAAAGTTTTTATAGCGCTGGGAGCCCCGGACCGGTTAGAACCGGATTTCACCTCCCGCCGCTGCTCATTGGCCCAGCTGGGGTCACGTGGGCGGGGTTTAAACTCACCTCCTCTGGAGGGAGTGAGGAGGGGGGCCCCCCGAAGGGGTGGGGGAGAGGAAGGCGCGCGAAACGGTGGCGCGCCGAGGGGGTGGGGGCGCAGTGGGGGAAGTGCGAGTTGGCTGGGTCTGGGGTTCACCTCCCACCAAGAGCTGGCTTTTGCAAACTATCAAGTTCCTTCCACCTTATGCAATGAGCAACCCACTTCCCCAAACCATGCAACACTCTGGGCGCATCTTATCCTCTTTGCTTCCCGCTCCCGCCAGGGGCCCCTGGAGTGTTTGCCAGGCTCGGTCGCCCGCCCTACTCACTGGGGGTAGGGGTTGGGGGGAAGGCGCACAGAATAGTCCGCGGCTTGTAGGCACCCGCTGCAGTTCATGGGGACAAGGCTGACGCTGGAGTGGATGGAGTGGGGAAGGCAGCTTGGCGCAGCCAGACGTGCATCATGCCGAGCTGCCACTCTGAGGAAGCCTTCCATGTACCTCACCTGGAAGGCGGCACACCCGAGGGGGGGGGGGCTCGAGGCAGAGAGTAGGACTTAACATGGGTGCACCGGGGCAGGTAGGAGCTGTTCTTTCAGCACCCGTTATTCAGTCATCTCCCTAAAAGCTAAGCGAGGAACCCCACCACCCCCGTGTCGAGTGGCTTTCTTCGGTCACTGTATTGGCGGGCCTCAGGACTCTGCCACCGAATGATGGAGAAGGGCCGTCCGGAAGGCCTACCAGCTCTTCCCTCGCCTTAGGCTCCACCCGTTTTGGAGGTATCCATTCAGCCCAGCTGCCCCCTCCCGACGCGGTCACCAAGCCTAGACGATGCAAACGCAGCTGGCGAAATCTCTTTCCACAGTGGAGCTGCCTTCACTTACGCAAGGAAAAGGAAGGTGGAAGAAAGCACCCCGGGTATTAGAAAACATCTAGAGGGACAAGTGTTGCGATGGCTAAAGGTCTTTCAGTGCCCCGGAGTCCAAAACTAGGGGTCCTGGAGTGTGTCAAGGGACCTGAGTGAGGAAGGATCGGTTAACTGCTGCAGCCAAGTAAGATGTTCCACTGCACTGTTAACAATTTTCACAGCTAAGACAATTAAAAAATTCTATTTTAGACCCATGAGAACACAAGAACATGATAAATATCCTCAAATGGGAACTGGCTCACAGGTGAGAGGGCATATATTCCACTAGTTTCTTGAGAGTGGGGTTGAAGCTGATTTGAACAAATTATGCTGGAATAAAATAATCAGAGTCCCAGTCAAGTCTTTTAAAGCGCATGCATGATCTCAGACGTCAGTGCCTTCCTAGAAGGGGCAGCTCCTCCCCTACCCCACCCTATGTACCTTTCCCAGAATATTGGACTTTAGGCCAAAGACGGATACCAGCCCTATTAATCACCTCTGCTGATCCCCAATCATATTAGGGAAAATCAGACATAGAGTGGGAGACAGGACTCAACAACCATACTCACAGGGCAGATTCCGTTTGCTGCTTCCAGCCCCTCATTCCCGCCTTAATTGTAGGGCTCTGCATTATAGCAGCATAATTCATGCCTCCCTAATTAAGGCTGTCAACAGCCCCATTGTAAAGCTGGAAAATGTACAGCACCTGCTCTCTGGGAACCCTGTGCCAGAGATTGGTAGTGGGGAGTGCCAGGTGTGTTCAGGGCCCTGCCAAAGGATGCAATGATTGGCTACTCAATCGTAATGCCTGGCATTTATGCTTGATTCTGAGATCAGGGATAAAGGCCAAGGGGTTTCTTATGGCAGGTACCCAGGAAGAGAAAAATGGAGAAAAGACTAAAGGATAGGAAGATCAGAAGTCTGAAGAGTATGCTCTTAACATGACTTGCAAGGTCCCACTTGTACCTCAGAGGGAGGTGATAGAGAAATAGCTTGCATGGAGTAAAATGGGAAGACCAAATACAGCAGCACTTGGTTGGTATTACTGGCTGATGCTTGCTGCTCTGGGGCACTTGAGGCACAATTACTCAGGCAGACAGCTCCACAGCAAGGCATGGCGGAGAGAGGTTAAGAAAAAGGACATAGCCCTTGACTCTGCTCTCTCCTTCTAGCTGGGTAGAGTTGGTCCTCACAAGCAGAGGGGGGTCCTGGAATAAACTAAGTCTTTTTCTATGCTGAGAATCATTTTAGGGCCAGTGTAAGTGGCTAGGTCAAAAAAGCCAGTAAGATCTGTGATGGAGGTGAGGAAGTGGGAATCAAGAGTTTGAGATGGTTAGGGAGGCATCCGAGTGAGGTGGGAGAAGTACTCCTTTCTGTGCTCCTGAGTTCTGGGTTACAGAGCAAGGTCGGTGCTAGAGCAAGGTCGGTGCTAGATTATACTCACCAGGGCCCACAGTCCTTCTGTTACCCTGTAGCTATGGAGGGGGTTGGCCTCCTGGAGGAGTGGAGCTGGCCCCTTGCCCTTCGAGGAGGAGAAAAGCTTGTGTGGGCTGAGTCGACAATAGGTAATTGGATTGTAATCACCCGCCTGGCTTCCGAGCCATTGGGGGCACTGGGCCTTTCAGTGAGCAATCAGTGCTGCATGGTAGGAGGGGTAGGGATTCAACCCAGGTGGAGAGCCAACAGAGAGGAACAGCAGATGGGCAAATTTTCTGTCTCTCCCACCCCTTTCTTCCTTGCCCAAATAACACTGGCTGCCTATTAGCTATTTGTCAGTAGATCCGAATCTTTTGTCAAAATTCATTGGAAGGGTTGAGTTTGGGGAGCCCTCTCCTCAACAGTTTTGTGTTAAGGATGGGCTGGTGAAAAAAGTGCTGCTAAGAGCAGACAATGATGGCAAAAGAGGAAAAAGCACCAGCTAAAGAACTGGAGGCCTACTCTTCAAACTTACTGGTCACCAGAGCTGGGTTCAGTATACTTGTACGGGACTCTCCTCACTCAGTCATCCCCAGGCCACTGTCATGTCCCAACTAGCAGAAAGGTATCTACTGCTAGCAGATATGGCCTGTAGGGCCTCCCCTGCCAAGCAAAAGGACCACAATTCATCATTAGAAGGGAGGTGCTTTTCACCAAAAAAAAAGAAAAGGGAGTGGGGCCCTGGAGGCAGAGGGCAGGAAGGAGTGGCAGGTGGCCAGCCTCACTCAGGCTGATGCAGTGCCCAGACGTGCCAGCCAGTCAGCTCGTTTGAGTTCCAGGGCTTGCAGAAAGCCTTGGACCCGCTCTTCCCGTCTGGCTGAGAGTTTGTGCAAGCATGTCCGTCGAAGTTGAGCGTCACCAGTGGTGTGGAACCCCTCTCGCAGCAGCTGTTCGGTCACTGCAGCCTGGTCCCTCTCCAGTTGCTGCCTCTTCCGCTCCTCTGCATACAAGTCTCGTGCTTTCTGCTGGACAGAAGAGGGGATTGAGAAGAACATTTTAGATATGGGTGGAATTAGGATGGAGGAGGTGTGGGGTGCGGCGCAAAGAAGGCTCAGTAAAGTGAACAGTGAAGAATCTGTGCCAGATTTGGAAAAGCCTGGGAGTAGGAGTGTGGGCCCGTGTTGCACAGGTAGGGCAATGGTAATTCTGGCTTATGGTCTATTTTGGGTGGGGAACATTTGTATTTCTTGAAATTCTTCTCAGGTTTTTAGCTAGAAGGGAACCAGATAAACAGATCTGACTTCTGGTTCCCCTACCAATAGTTGTGTGGCTTTGGGAAAATCCTTTCCTAACCTCATTTCTGCATCTGTAAAGTGGGGGTTGTGCCTACCTTGAAGAGTGGTTTTAAGGATTAGAGATAATATATGCAAAATCCTCTCTGGCATTTAGCAGGCTCTTGAATAGAAACAGCAATTTTACAAGTTATTACTGTCTATTCTCTGTTGCAGGGAAGGTCTTGTTCTTGTCTGGTGCACTCCCTTCGGGTTACTTCCTGTTGTCTCCAAGGTCACTTGGCTTCCATCCTCCTGGAATTCCCTAAGCTGTTCTTCAGAGTTCTGCTCCAATTTGCCTCCTATATGGGGCCCAGGTAGACTCTTCTAGCACTCCTGTGAACATTGTGAGACGCAGATCCACATCCTTTAAGCTACTTACTGTATTCTGCTTAATAGGTGTTAGTGTCAACAGTCCACTTTTTCTGTTAGAGAGTAAGGCTCACAAGGGCTTGACAGAACTCCAGGGCTCCTGAAACCAGCCCTGAAACCGGTATGTGTCGTACTACCTGATAGCACATGCATCATGTATGTGTCACTAGGCAGACACAGTTCCTCTTCATCTCTGGCACCTGGGATGCCCTGGTACAAATGAAAAACTCAACTGACTGACCATGTGGTCCCAGGAGGTGATACTCAGTGCACAGCAGAAGGGGAAAATTCCTTTGGAATGAGACAAGGGCCTTGCTCCACTAATGCTTGTTGCTCCTACTAGTCTAATAAGCTCACAAAGCCTTTCCTCCAGAGCTACTCCCAGCAAACCCATCCCATCGATGAACACTAGGTTTTGCTTCCAACCTGGTATTCTATTCCTCTATCTGTATCCTTTAGTCAAGCCAGAGCCTGACCTCTATGTGTCATCGGTAGTGCATGTTCAGATGGGCAGAGGTAAGAGAACTAAAGACTATCTACCCTTGTCATCTCATTTTATAGACAAGGCCACTGAACCTGCAATAGGATGAAATTTGGCCTAAATCACATAGTTGGTTGACATTTTCTTGGTTTCTCTAGTAAAGTACTTGAAATATATCTTAAAACAGTGGACAGGTCATGTTTTCTAGGATGGAGCGGAAGAAGCTGAACACCTGCCCCTCCAACCTTGACATCGTGTGGGTATATTCTCATTCTTGAGAGCTTTCTAAGTAATTTCAAGCGCTCATCCTTAGAAAACCCTCAGTAACAGAAGTCTTAATAGACACTTTCTCTCCCTGATGTCTTATTATCAGCATAACTACTAATCGGGGAAAGAAGTGAGGGTGTAATTTCTTTCCTTGAATGCCATGCAAAGACCTTACAGCATCCCATTACTCTCATTACAACGACTCCATAGAACTCTTTCAAAAAAGTGGCTTTAACCTATTAATCTAAATCCTTCCTGGGCATTAAACCTCTCTGCACTTGTTCTTTCCTTGGGAGATATAGGAAACATGTAATAGCCCCTCCAGTACTTAAATTCTCAAGTTCTCCACCATCTTGCTGAAGCCTGGAGAGAAGTGTTGGGTCCTCAGCTTTGAAATATCCATGAGTCAATGAAAGTCTTTCCTCAGTCCTCCTTTCCCACAATCTCAGCCCAGGTCATGATGGAGATATTTTTGAGAGCTGCCCTCCTGCTGGAAACATGATGATCTTCCTGGGGAACTGTACTGAGGATGGAATATGCAGGAAACTATCTCTGGTTCCTTTTCTGGAGAAGGGAAAACTGGTAAAGGGCCCAGATAGATGTCAATATTGGTCACCAACATGTATTTTGTTCTGGGTGCTTTTCCTAGATTAGCTTACAGAGGTCTCATCACAAACCTGTGAAGTCTTTTCATTTTATAGATCAAGAAGATGATTCTTGGAAGGGTTAAAGAATTGTCCAGTTGTCACAAGTACCATGTAAGCAGTAAGCAGCATCATGATTCCAAGTCAGGAATGTCTGAGCAAATAATTCAAGCTTTTAACTACCTCTGAGAGGACAGTGACTGTTGAGAACACTAGAAACAAAATGGTTGATCCAGTCTGCAAATGCATCAAAGGAAGTTGAGTAGGAACACATGTTTTCTCTTTTTATAATCTCATAAAGTACTTGATGAACCAACACTGGTCTTTTCAATCACATGCTATGCTCCTGAGAGCTGGACAATGACTAAGGATGACAGAAGAATTGATGCCTTTTAGAGTAATGAATATCCCATGTACTGCTAAAAAAACAAACAGATATGTCTTGGAGAAGGTGCAGCCAGAGTGCTCCTTGGAGGTAAGGATGACAAAGCTTCATTTTGCATACTTTGGGCATGTTGCTAGGAAAGGTTATTCCTTAAAGAAGGACATCATGGTTAGAAAGGTGGGGGGACAGTGAGGGATGGAAGATCCTCAAGCAGGTGGAGTGACACAGTGACTGCAATGGGCTTGAGTGAGTCAGAGATTGTGAAGTTGGCACAAGATAGGGTCGCTATGAGTTGTACTCGACAGCACCTAACAACATTACCCATCCCAGCCATCCTCTACCATCCTTGCCTCCCTGCAGGCAAGTCTCACAGCATCAGAGTCAAGATCGTTTTTATGTCAGTTCCCATTCTCTACCTCAGCCTAACCACAAAACTGATTAGATGACCTCAGAAGACTGTAATGGTCCCTTTAGATACTAAGGATTGGCTTTGAACAACTTGTAATTAAGTTCCAGCTTTCCTTATCCTCTACCAGCTGCCTTCATCCCAATAAATCATTCCAGGTTCACAGCCCAGTTCCCTGCCCTCTACTCTGGATTCCTGCAGGTGACTGGGATTCTGGGATAAGCATGTAGAAAAGAAGCTCAGACCCTGAGAGTGAGAATTTGTGATATGGGATAAGAACACATACATGGAGGTAAGTCACTGAAAGGTGTAAAAACAACAAACTGTTCTTAAGTCCTGGAGCAAATTCCATCTACCACTGGGTTGTTTTACAACTCGAAAGTCCGCATGCAAGGCAAAGGTGAAGTAAGGAACTGCTTATGAGGTTTTCCGTCAATTCCAACAACTAAGAAATAGTGAGAAGAGCTGGGACCTCAGAAGGCTTTTAGGAACCCCCAAAAAATAAATAAATAAAATCTACAAAAAAAAAAAAAACCCAAAAAAACAACAAATTGGGAAAAGTGCAGTTTGGCCAGTATATAGGAAATGTGAAAGGGAGAATGTGAAAAGGTTGGAAAGATCACTTCTCCAGTTAGAAGATGCTGTTAGTTTGAATTCTCGCCTTAGTGCTTCTATCAAAGTGCTAAAACTTCTAGAAACAGAACTTTGAGGGTTTCTTACTAGAGAAAGCCTGGCCAGGAGCATCAAGAGGTCATGTAGGGAAAAGAGTTTAAGACAGTCAATATTCATTACAAACCTGGTTTACTCTGAAAATTAGCATTGTAGTAATAATCCTATGGTATTACAGAGTCAATGTAAAGGATCCTTGATACAAAGTTAGAGCCTAATAAATTATGATTAGTAGGTACAAAACAGACTGCTCAACTGCCTTCCTCAAACACAGCTATCTTATCCCTGTGTGGCAAACAAAACACAAATCCACCAGCTGCTCTGCGGGGGGGGGGGGGGGGAAGATGGGCATTTCCTCCCGTGTGATTTACTGCCTCTTAAAACCCACTGGAGGGTCAGCTATGTGTGGGTTCTAACTTAAAGGTGGTTGTTGTTGTTATTATTATTATTATTATGTGCCGTCGAGTCACCTGCGATTCATAGCAACCCTATGTACAACAGCCCTAAACCCTGTTCTATCCTGTGCCAATTTCACTGTCTCTGACACACCTACCCCCCTTACCCCAGCTACTGAATCAATCCATCTCATCGAGGCTCTTCCTCTCCTGCACTGTCCCCTCCACCCTCCCAAGCTTGACATCCCTCTTCAAGGACTGGTCCCTTCTTGCAACATGTCCAAAGTTCAGAATCCTTGCCTCCAAGGAGCAGCCTGGCTTCACCGTCTCCAGGACAAACCTGTTTGTTTTCTTAGCAGTCCATGTCATATTCAATATTCATCTCCAAAATCACAGCTCAAAGGCATCAATTCTCCTATCCTCCCGAGTCATTGTCCAGTTCTTTGATGTATAGCAAGTGATTGCAAAGACCATGGCCTGTATCAGGAGCACCTTGGGCTCCAGAGTGACATCACTGCTCTTCAGTACTTTAGAGAGGTCTTTAACTGCAGACTTTCCCATTGCAATACATCTTTTAATTTCCTGGCTACTGGTGATGAGAGTGTTGACTGTGGAGCCAAGCAAACTAAAGCCGTGAGCAATCTCAATCTCTTCACAATCCATCATGATGTTGCCAATCAGCCCAGTGGTGAGAATCTTTGCTTTCTTGATATTGAGCTTCAATCCATACTGAATATTGCAGTCCCTGACCTTCCATAGCATGCACTTCAGGTCTCCTCAGTTTCAGCAAGCAGGATTGTGTCATCTGTATAATGCAGATTGTTGAGTCTTCCTCCAATCCTGATGCCACATTTCTCAGAGCCCAGCCTCCTGGATAACCTGTTCTGCACAGATTGAAAAGGTATGGAGGTAGGACACTTCCCTGGCATACACCCTTCCCAATTCTGAACCATGCAGTGTTTTCTTGCTCTGTTCTGACAACTGCCTCCTGATCCAAGCATAGGTTCGCATTAACATGATCAAATGTTCTAGGATTCCCATTCTTCTCAGAGTTAGCCACAGTTTGTTGTGGTCCGCACAGTCAAATGCCTCTGCATAGTCAATGAAACACAGACAGACATTCCTCTGATACTCTCTGCTTTCAGCCAAGATCCATTTGACATTAGCTACAATATCCCCTAGTACCACGACCCCTTCTAAATCCAGCCTGCACTTCTGTTGATGTGCTTGCTGTTCCAGTCATTTTTGGAAAATCTTCAGCAGAATCTTGCTTGCATGTGATATTAATGATATTGATCGATAGTTTCCACACTCTGTCAGATCACCTTTCTTTGGAATGTGAACAAATAAAGATCTCTTCCAACTTAAAGGTTGTTGTTGTTGTTATGTGCCGTCGAGTCACTTGTGACTCATAGCGACCCTATGTACAACAGCCCTAAACCCTGCTCTATCCTGTGCCAATCTCATTGCCTCTGACACATCCATCCCGATTACCCCAGTCACTGAATCAATCCACCTCATAGAGGGTCTTCCCCTCCTGCGCTGTCCCTCCACTCTGCCCAGCATGATGTCCCTCTCCAAAGACCTGTCTCTCCTTACAACATGTCCAAAGTATGTCAGGCGAAGCCCCAGAATCCTTGCCTCCAAGGAGTAGCCTGGTTTAACCCTCTCCAGGATGAATCTATTTGTTTTCTTGGCAGTCCATGGTACATTCAGTACTCTTCTCCAGCACCACAGCTCAAAGGCGTCAATTCTCCTTCTATCCTCCTTAGTCACTGTCCAACTCTCTGATGCATAACAAGTGATTGCAAAAACCATGGCCTGTATCAGGCGCACCTTAATCTCCAGAGAGACACCGCTGCTCTTGAGTACTTTAGAGAGGTCCTTAACCTAACTTAAAGGTACACAACAATATTATTCACTGAACAGGGACCTTTGGTGCAGTAGTCTATAGGGAATTGGCTGTAACCCAAAGGCCACACCTCTCTGGCAGTTAGAATCCACCAGTGGTTCCTTGAGAAAAAGATGGGCACTTGCCTCCCATGTGATTTACAGCTTCAGAAATCCAACCTATGTGTTGGTTCCAACCTGAAGGCAAGAAGTTTGAGTTGTTCACTCAATCAGCCAAGGCAAAATCTGGATCTCTTGGCTCTCTAACTTAATATTTAATATTAATTAGTATTTGAACTTACTGGCTTTACCCTCCAAGATACATAAAAGAGCTTCAGAATTACATCGCCAGCTTTTATCACAATAAACTTCCTTAGAAATGTTTGCGACAATTCCCCCTGCGGCTGCAGGCCACCGAGGTCCGTGTCTACCCGGTGGAGTTCAACCCCGACTTCGTAGCGCGGATGATACCCAAGGTGGAGTGGGCGGCGCTTCTGGAGGCAACCGAGACTTTGCATCTGGTTGAGGTCCCCAAAGGGCCAACTGAGGGATATGAGCACGATGAGGCTTTTTTAAGGAAGATGCACCACATGCTGCTGGAGGTGGACGTATTAGAGGGCACCCTGCAGTGCCCAGAGTCCGGGCGTCTCTTCCCCATCAGCCGCGGGATCCCCAACATGCTACTAAATGACGAGGAAACCGAGACTTAGCCTTGTCGGGCCCCCTTTTCGTTGTAACTGTGTTTGTCGGTCTTGTCTTCAGCCCTGCACCCAGTGACACACCAAACGCATTGTTCTTGAGCTCCATAGTATGTGTGTGTGTGTGTGTATATATATATTTTTTTTTCTCATTAAAGGTTCAAAACAGAACAAAAAAAAAAGAAATGTTTGCATCTGCTTTTCAGTCTAGGCTATATAGTCCTTCATATACAGCTCACTAACGTCAAAGAACTGAGTTCAAGTTACTGAAATTCCTTGCTTTCTCTGGGAGTCACGGTATCAGAGGTGGAGGAGCCCAGACTGGAAGTCAATCAAAATACAGAAAGGTGAAAGCTGGGTGAGGGGAAGGAAGGCCTTCAACCAGAAAAACTGACAGTGACTGCAGCAATGGGTTCAAGGAAGTCAGAGATAGTGAAGATGGCACATGATAGGACAGGGATCAGATCTGCTGTTCACAAGGACACTATGGGTCATACTTGACTCAATGGCAACTAACTGGGAGTACAGTCTCAATTTTGTTTATTTGTTTAATTTTTGTTCTTTTCTCTCCCCAACTCATCAGTCCTTTTAGTTCTCCTGCTTCCCTACTGCCTCCACCCATTATCTGTTGCCTGAACTGCAGGATTTTGGTCTCTTTGCTTTGACTCCCACCCTCTTAAAAATCCCGAGTGATCCTGCTAAACATATGTTAGATTCTGTCATTCCCTTCCTTAAAATTCTTCAGATGTTTGGGACCACCTACGAATGTGAAAGAAAAAAAATCCTTTAGATGTGTGACTATGGCCTATGAAGCCATATATAATCAGGAGCCACTTCAACCAACATTCCAAACTCCTCTTTCCTTTACCCACCCAAATCCACTACCATCAATTGGTTTTGACTCACAGTAAACCTAGAGGAAATAAGAGAACCACCTCATAAGATCTTGGGAATGCAATATAGGTAAAACATTGCAAATAAAGGCTCTTTGGACACCTAAAACAACAAAATCGACCAAAAATACCTACTGCCTTTGAGACAATTCAACTCATGGTGACGCAGTGTGTTACAGAGAACTGCCTCAGTTTTCTTGTCTGTATTCTTTACAGAAATAGACCATCACTTTCCTTCTGCAGTGACACTGGGTGGATGCCAACACTTAGGTTAGTAATCCTTCGTAAACTCAACCATTCAGGGACATTTCCACTTCTGATACACTGACCCCTTTTTGTTCTTCTAAGACATAAACTTTACAAACTCAGTAGTCTTACCTATGATACTCTCTATGCAGAGAGTAAGTCTTCCTTTTCAGACGGTGATGTATCTGGCTAGATCTCATCTTTCACTTTATTGTTTACAACTTTCTCTGACGGTGTTTAGTAGGCTGCCTCCGTCTCCCCTGCTCCCTTCATTAGCTAGCATATCAACCTGTGTATTTTTTTCATTGTTCTATTATAATCTAAAATTATATTATGTATTTGTTTATTAATCTCAATTAAGTAAGAATAAAAGCTCCACAAAGATATGGGCCTTGTCTGGCAAGCTAACTATGGAACGTCCTATGCCTAATACAGTCCCTGACTCAAGAAACATTTACAGAATGAATGAAACTTAAGGCAGCTCTCCTAGAAGCTAACTGGTAAAGCATCTGAGAAACCTGAATTTACCATAAAGGCTGCTGAGCAGTCCAATTAGAGAACAGAATATCCATGTGTAAAAGCTCAGGCACCACGCTCCAGTGGGCTTCACATAGAGCCAATTTGCTTTCACTTTATAGATATAACTCTAACAAACATGGTTAGCCAGTTTCTTTGTCTATAGTTGATTTTAAAGTAATAAACTGGAAGGGAAGTAATACACAGTCAAAATTAGCCAGTGACAGCAGTAGGAAATGACAAGGAGAGATATACTGAAAAAAAAAGTATTTTGGGATCATGTACGTACAAGTCATCTAGCTTCACCCCTTCATCACCATTACTGTACTGTGAAGTAGAACGCCATTTACCACTACCATTATAATTGTTGCTGTGTACTGTAGAATCGGAACCGACCCATAGCTGACCCTCCAGCGAGTTTTCAGAGGCAGTTAATCACACGGAGGAGACTGCCCATCCTTCTCCCATAGAGTACCTACCTGGTGGCCTCAAATTGTGTGCCTTTGGGATTGCAGCACAGCTTCTTGCAGAGAGGCCACCAGAGCTCCCTTTATGATTAGCAGAATTAGGGGGGGAAGATTAATTAAAAAAAAATTATTAGTAAATGCTTAGAATAGAATAGGTATCCATGAATTATGTAAAAGGCACACTTTAGAAAATTTCCCATCAAAAAAAGGTTAAATTTTAGTTCTTGAAACTTTGGTCATGTGGACAAATTTGATTCCTCACTAATAATGGTTAATTGAGGCCTTGCTGTTGGTCCTTTCATAGATTCCAAACTTACCTTTTAATTTCCTTCTGTTGTTGTGGTTGTGTATCATCAAGTCAGAAATGACCCACAGCTGATCCTCCAGCAGGTTTTCAGAGGCAGCTGATCACTGGGAAGAGATTAACCATCTTTCTCCTGTGAAGCAGCTGGTGTGTTTGAACCTCATACATTTGGGTTGCCAGTGCAACCCCTTATACCAGTAGGCTCCCAGGACTCCCTAATTTACCCATATTCTGAGACTAAAATAATCAAACTTTCATGACTTTTTTAACTTATACCAGAAATTCTGAATTTAGGAATCATGGATAGATTTCAGGGGTTATGTGAACCCATAAAAATATTTTAAGTGTTTTGTGTGATTGGTGCAAAGCTATGCAAAATTCCACGTGTGAGAATGACCTATGCCATTTTTCTAGAAACAAAGTCTATAGTTACATCAGATTTTCCAAGGTGTTCCTGACACCAAGAAGCCGGAGAGCCCTGACTACTCTCAATAACTCCACCTGCCTTCATCTCTACAGATTCAACAACAAGTACCAGTTTTGGGTTTAAAATTCAGGTTCTTAAATCCAGGGCTTTCAGACAGTGACTAAGTCTCTCAGATTCTCATTTCCTTAAGGCTTAAAAGAAAATGTGTATGAAAGCACCCACCTGCCCTAGTGGCCTGTACCATCTATATGACCACTGTTATTAGTAAGAATGTTAATCAGAGCCTGTCTAAGATTAAGTGATAAAAAAAAAATTTAGTGATCAAAATGGAAGGCAGAGCTTCAAGCCTTAACACAGCATAGTTGTACAGTTCTTCAATTCTTGAGGAAAATACTGCTTTTCACATACTTCCACTGCTATAATCCTTAGGTTAATGTCATTGTTGTTATGTGCTGTCATGTAAACTATGACTCATAACAACTCTATGAATAACTCTGAACCCTGCCTTATCAGGAGCTAATTAATCTCACTGTCTCTGACACACCTAGCCTCATTGGCATAGTAACTGTGTCGATCCATCTCCTCCAGGATCTTCCTCTCCAGCACTGTACCTCCACCATTCCAGGTATTATGTCCTTCTCCAAGGACTGGTCCCTCCTGGCTACATCCCCAATGTATGTCAGACGGAGTTTCAAAATCCTTGCCTCCAAGGAGCAACCTGGTTTCACCCTCTCTAGGACAGACTTGTTTGTTCTCATAGAAGTCACAGCAGTATGTTCAATATCCTTCTCCAACACCACAACTCAAAGGCATCGATTCTTTTTTTGGCATCCTTAGTCACTGTCCAGCTCTCAGATGCATAGCAAATAACTGAGAAGACCATAACTTGGATCAGTCGCACCTTAGTCTCTAGACTGACGTTGTTGCTTCTCATTACTCTGGAGAGGTTCCTGACAACAAACTTTCTGAAAGCAATTCATATTTTGATTTCCTGACTGCTAACTGATTGTGTAATTAAATAAAATGAAATTGTTAACAACATCAATCTCTTCTCCATCTATCATGATGCTGCCAATTGGCTGATGGTGAGAATCTTTGTTTTCTTGATGTTGAGATGCAATCCATACTGAAGATTGCGGTCCCTGCCAAATGCTTCAAGTCCTCCTCAGTTTTGGTGAGCAAGGTTGTGTTATTTACATTATGTAGGTTGTTGATGAGTCTTTCTCCAATCCTGATGCCACATTCTTCTTCATAAAGTCCACCCTCCTGAATGACCTGTTCCACATCTAGATTGAAAGGGTATGGAGAAAGGACACATCCCTGACACATTCCTTTCTTGATCTTGAGACATGCAGTATTTTCTTGCTCTGTTCTGACAACTGCTCCTTGGTCTAAGTATAGGTTTCACCTGAACACAAGTGTTCTGGGATTCCCATTCCTCTCAACATTAGCTTCAATCTGTTGTGATCCACACAGTCAAATGCCTTTGCATAGTCAGTAAAACACAAAGATATATTCTTCTAGCACTTTCTGCTTTCAGCCAAGCTATATCTGACAATGGCAATGATATTCCTGTTTCTAGTGCCAGGGCATCTTCTAAACTCAGCTTGTATTTCTGGCAGTTCTCTGCTAATATACTGTTCAATCGGTTTTGGATAATCTTCAGCAAAACTTGCTTGTGTGATATTATTCGATAATTTAGACAGTCTGCTGGATCATTTTTTGGGGGGGGGGAATAGGAATAAATATGGATGGATCTCTTCCAGTCAGTTGGCCAGGCAGCTGTCCTCCAGATTTCTGAGCACAACCTGTGAGTATGTCTAAGCCTGCATCTGTTTGTTGAGATATGTCAATTGGTATTCTATCAATTCCTGGAGCCTTATTTTTTGCCAATTTCTGTACACATTAGGCTAATATGCCCAGGGAATATAATGGCCAATATTTCTGGAAATCACTTCCTGGGTCTCCATAATGATCAGATTTGTAAGCCTGAACCCCAAGTCTGTCTCTTACTTGTTATGTTTCCTTGACTACCTCATTCCTCTGCTGTTGGCTCATTTGTAAAGGAGCAGGGCGAGGGGAGATAAAGGAGCTAATAAACCTACTGATTAGTTTTTTGAGAAGACTAAGTGAGCTAATGGACATAAAATATTAAGTGTCTGGCATAGTGTAAATGGTAACACTCGTCACCATCAACATCGTTAGCAAGCTTATCAAATGCCTGCTATGTGGTTATTGTTGTTGTGTGCCATCTACTCAAAAGAGACCAATTGCTGAGCCTCCTGTGAGGTTTCAGAGGCAGTCAATCACATGGGAGGAGACTGCCTATCCATCTCCTGAAGAGTAGCTGGTGGATTCGAGCACAGTTTTTGACCACTAGGCCACCAGAGCTCCCTTTATGGTATACAGCAGGTGGTCAATCAATGCTAAGTTACTTACTTTCCCATCCCATCTTAGTCAAGCCAGTCTTGAACTCGTACCTGAAGGCCACTGTGGTTCATCTGGAACTGTATAATGGCCTCAAAGAAGTTCCAAAATGTATATTCTGGCCATAGAACTGGCTGGAATATCAGGCAGGAGTGGGAGGTCTGGGAAAGGGAAGGAACAGAGAATATGGTTTAGCTTCATGTCCCTGGGGCATATTCCTAGTCAGGCCTCCAAAAGCTGATCAAGACCCAGAAGAACAGAACACCACAGACATCCAGAGCTGCTGCTGCCACCAGTCCTGATTTACTCACTAATAGAGGAAGGGGTCATTTGGGGCACTGAGACCAGCTGCCTCTTGCAAAGCAGAAATAAAGCAAGACTAGATGATCAACATTTCCACCAGGAATTTTCTATGAGGCAATTTTAGGCCTATGAAATAACATCTGGATTATGTTATTGGCTCTTGGCCCTTAGAGGTCATCTGAGATACACACCGATAAAAGTCAGTAGTGAGCAAATGGTAGCTGCCATTGTTATTTTTAAGTAGCAGCAGTATGGCATAGCGGTTAAAAGCACTGGCTTGGGACCAGACTGCCTGGCTTTGCATTCTGGCTGCACTATTTACCATCTATGTGACCTTGGACAAGTTACTTAATCTTTCTTGGACTTTAGTTTCTTTAATTGTATAACAGGTAACAAGGGCACCTAGTTTTTAATGTATTATAAAGATTAACATACACAAAGCAGCCAGATCATAGTCACGTGAGCTTTAACAGTCATCACTGATTTAAGAATCTTTCATTCAAAAAAAAAGAATCTTTCATTCTTGACAACCACAGCCTGAGACTTTTGGTAGTGGAGAATTCAGTGTCTCACAAGAGGCATTTAACTAGCTTTTGGATAGCTTATTACATTAAACCAATCTTTGAATCTTGGAACTTTCACCAGGGCCCCAGGTTTTTACTCTGGAACAAGTTTACATCTTTTCAAAAATGTCATTCTTTCAAATGTTTAAAGGCCATATTAGAGCTGGCTGTTATATGCTTCCAAGAATGTAGTTGTGCAGACTGTTTTTTGCCAATCAACTAAACTTCAAGACAGCAGCGGTCATTTCTGCCTTGGTCAATGCTATATTCCCAGCACAATGAAGGAACTGTCATAATGCTAACCTTTTTAAGATTCTTATTCTTGGGTAAAGGGGAGGGAAAGGAAGGAAAATCTGCAATAATGAATGGGGGGGAAAAAACCCCAAAATATGTTCCACTTGTTCATTGTAGGACATGAGTTTGAAATTCCTTGCTTTTCCAGGCTGGCTTCTTCAAGTTAACTCTTCCAGCTCAGAAGTAAACTTTCCAGATATGATATGAAGTGCAAAGTGGGCCACAGAATTATTAGCTGAACATTATGTGCTGAATATAGCCAAAGACTCTGAAAAAGTATCTTCAGTAACTCTGTCTTGTTACTTTACTTTTTAATATTACAGTCCATTAAAATTCTTGAGGTTTTAGCACAGAAGTGACCTCAAGGCTGGATCCTCCTACTTCTCCTTTTGTTTTGTGTCCTCAATGCTTTTTGAATTAAAATTCCCCCAATTCACATGCTACCCAGGTACTAAGCTAACAGGGGACAGAGATTTTCAAACAAAACTGGGTATATTTAGGGATATGCACTTTTTAAAAGAATACCTATTGAACTGAGAAGCAAGAGAAAGTCCCTAAAAATAAGTGTTCATACAATTTATTTCCCTCAAGGACTGTACTTTCACCAACAAAGCTGTTACTTTAAAGGAAAAAGTCTAAGGTTACCAACACAGAAAGTCCAGTTACCTGAAGAGGAACACGAGTGAAATTTCTAATATAGAGAGCCTGAACTTCTCCTTTGGGTTGGATGCCTTCCACTTTGGACAGAAAGGACCACACAGGCTCACAAAACCAGGAACAGAAGAGAGAGGATTAGCAATTACCAGGCACAGCCTGAAGACCTCTTGCCAGATTTTGTCTTTTCTCTTAATCCTAGCCTGGCTGGGAATGGGAAAACGTCAGCCACTTTATCCATTCTATGGATTAAATCATAGTTCCCAGACTGTCATAGACAGCATAGTAGTTAGGAACTACTCACCTGCCAGAGCAAGAAGTCACTCAGTCTCACTTCCCCAGAAGTCCGTATCAAAATGTCTGGATGAGGAGAGTGGTTGGTATAGAGGCACTTATCAAGCAGAGACTCAGAGATATCACTATGGGGAGTATGGAAGACAAAGACAAGTATAAATATATCTTTTTGTATTATTCTCATGGTAAATTTCCAGTTTATAGTACATCGTTAAATACACTACTAACACTACCCAGAAAACAGAAAGCTCTCAAATGTTTGATAAATGCATGTCTGGATTTTAATATTCACAACTAAATAGGTATTTCTATCTTCATCTCATAGAAAAGGAAACTGAGGCTCAGAGAGGGTAATTTTCCCAAAGTCATTTAGCTACAGATCTAACCAGAAGCCTCTGCTATAATGCACTGTCCTTCAATAAAACACTACACACTGTTTTTTTAAATGCATATATACTCTATGACCTAGTAATCTGATGAAGTACTATGCAACTCTTTTGTTTTTCAAACAAAGGTAAATTGAAACCCACTGATTTGGAAAAAAGTGTAGGATCTAAAGTTAAATGAATAAAGAAAATTTCTTAAAATCGAATTGTCTTTTTTTAATTTTAGAAACACATACATTCTCTCTCACGTATATATGGAAACACAGAAACAGCTACATTATGCATGTAAAGAACAAACTCTAATAGTGCTAACAGTGATTATGTCTGGAAGGTAGGAAAGAAGTAGAAAAAGAAACACTATCTCTTTTAAACATAGGTTATATACATGGATTTCACCAGATGGTATGCATAGGAATCAGATTGATTACATCTGTGGAAAGAACTGCTGGAGAAGCTCAATATCAGCTGTGAAAACAAGGCCAGGAGCTAACTGTGGAACAGACCACCACCAACTACTCATATGCAAGTTCAAGGTGAAGTTGAGGAAAATTAAACCGAATCCATGGGAACCAAAATATAACTTTGAGTCTATCCCACCTGAATTTCAAAACCATCTCAGGAACAGGTTTGAGGCCTTCAACACTAATGAGCGAAGGCCAGATGAGTTGTGGGAGGATACCAAGGTTATCATCCAGGAAGAGTGCAAACGGTCACTGCAAAGACAGAAGAGGAAGAAAAGACCAAAATGGATGTCAGAAGAGACTCTGAAAATTGCACTGGAGCGCAGAGAAGCCAAAGCACAAGGAAGAATTCA